GCTCTTCGAAACCAAACCTTTATTCATAAATCGTCTTGATACTGCGTGTTTCGTAGATCAACGGTGTAAAGTACCTAGCCGACATTCGAGTTAACTCCTACTTTTTCATACGTAACTGATTATGCCATCGGAATTGATAGTTGGGAGCTATGAAATAAGTTTTGTGCAGTTTAAAAAATTTAATCGATTCTATGGATAATCAGAGTCACAAAGGTGGGGTAAGGTTACTTAACGATATGCATTTTTGACACAAAGGGGAAGAAGCAACTGTTTTAAAACTTCGTGTGTCATTGGCAATGTTTTACGAAATGTGCACACTTCTTACTTCGCAGTAGACCTTTGAGCCAGTCTAAACTGCACAAGTTTATGATTAAACTGTGAACAAACAGTTTTGTAATGAGCTTACCATAGCAACCAGCCTGGAGCGATTTTATTGGCCGCCGTGGCAACAGGCGTGCATGGAATTGTGCTAAGAGGGTGGAGGTACAGAGGTAGACTGCCACAAGGGCAATTTTCACCCCCAAACGTTCTAACTTCTTGTCATTCTCTCTCAGGCGTGCGTGCACCCTTCTGCTGTTAACCTTCAGCCGATGCAGCGAATCAGGCTGGATGCGTCCACACATGCACGCGCATGCGTCACGACTGAGCGAGAACGGGGAAATTTGACCTTGATTACTCAACCACGAGCCAAATGTGTTGTCAAGCCTGGTTGTTAGGGCGGTGGTCCTGTTGTGCGAACGTAAAAAAAACGTTTTGACTATAGCGTCTAACGATGTGTACACTAAAGAATTTTGGGGTAAACCATCGGCATTTATCCATTGTTGTGTTGGCAACTAGAAGGACAGAACTAGCGCGCCAAACTCTAAACGAATACTTAAAACGTACATAGCTTGCACGAACAATAAAAGAAGGCTTAATTTATCCCAATAATTAGGGGCTTAAAATAGTGGTCATCAAAATGTCGAAAACGCAGCCGACTTCTTAGCATGACGACGTCATTGTGTGTCCATAACTGAAATTTCTATTAGAAGCCATAAAAGATAAATCTTTGCACTTGTTGAAGTGTGCTCGATGCACCTTTTTTTATCTTGCTCCTCACATTTATGTTACAAAACATTCCTCATTACAATATCCTTTGGATTAAGCATTAATGAAATTTTTGCATAAATCGAGAACCGTAGACGCCAAATCGCAACTGATGGGATGACCCTGACACTGGGGTAGTGAAACAATGTCGCAAGAGAACGATTCATCTTATTACCAAAATATCATGACCAATTAGAATTTAATTTTTTTGTTGTTGTGGATTTTCGAAAAGCGAGGGGATAAATTAATTGTTTGTCATTTCAAATTATTAGTTTGGTAAGCTGCACTTGTTACTTCTCCAATGTCCTATAATATAGCTGAGGCACTACCTGACCCATTCCAAACACGGGAATAATGCCGACCTGTACACGAGATTCGGAAATTGGAGATGATCAGTGGCTGTTGAAAGTCTTCAGGTTTCGGACAGGTCTGTAGTTTAAAAAAATTTTTTCTTAAATTTTGGTCTCTAATTGCATTTTCCTTGTTGAACGCGGTTCGACTTTCATCAAGTGTCTGTTTTAGTCATTCGCATAGTTGTTGCAGATAACGGTTAAGACAGTTTGGTTCACATTTTAAGCGTCTCTATTTAGGATTAATGACGTAACATAACTTCATCCATGCCTTAGGCAGAGCTTTTAATTTAAAATTATTTGAAATTTGTCTTATCTTATAGGTGAATTCTTACTTTCACGCTAATTCGTGTAGCATATCTTTTGCATGCCCAAACCTACGCACTCTTCGAAGTTAAGTGAACTCTGAGGCCTGAAATACACAAGATCTTGACCGCATGAATTACTGCGCTGGTAAAGATGATCATTCACCAAGATGCCACTGCTAACTATCGAATTCTGCCATTAAAAAACACTATTTCAACAACTAACAAGCGAGTACACTCAAAGTAATCACGCAAAAATGGCGGCAACTTTGATTTTGTCAACCAAGGGCGTCATAGCTGTGATTATTCGCCATTTGTTTTGATGCTTTGTACCCACTAACTCTCAATGCGAAATGACTTTCACTAGCTGCTTATTGCACAATTACAGACAATCCTCGTCATGTATTCGTGAAGTTTAGACCGAGACAAGGAAACTGTGCCCCTGGGTACTCGTGGCATAGATGTGAAGTATAAAGTATAGCATTCACTTTTAGGTGTGCAAAGGTTATCCCATAAGCTCCTAATCCCCTTTTTCTTAGTTGTCATACCACCTCCTTCGAATTGCCAGCGGAATGGAATGTAACTAACTCCTCTGGAAAAATGGGGCATTCGGACTAGTTTTATTTTCATAAATAAAGGTGGAAAGGAAGAAAAACAACTTTTTAATTAATGATTTACATATTTGCGTTATGCAACATCTAATTGGGCCATTCTCAAGGTCACCCTCCATCCACCGACTCCAGAGGCCACCCTGTTGGCTAGTTCAATGGAAATCCCTGTTTTAACCTCACCGTAGTGACTGGTGGCCACAAAACTAGGAGTTGATGGTCATCCAACCCAACTAAGGGGGCTGACTAAGGTTTTTTGCCAATTTCAGTAAGGTTGGTAGATTTGCTAGTAGGCTGGAGAAGTGGCAAAATGCGTACTTTGCAGTGCCAAGTTAACACGCCGGTGTGGAATAGTTGACTATCACGTGCGTCAAATTAGACAATAAGAGTGACCAAATAAATTATTCTCTTCACCTGACACTCCGTGCTCAGAGCCAGTTGTTAGATGCATTCTTTCAAGCCTTTCAGTGGGAGGGAGCGGCTAACTGAGAGATCACTAAATGTGGAGTCATGATGCAGTTAAACCATTCCCTTGCCTCACGTCCCAATGGGGTTCGATTTAATCACCTTTTCCTCGGAACTAGACTTTATTGTCGGAGTGTATGATAGGCAATGATTACCTGGAAGTCTCCACACAGGGGCTGACAATCCTATAAGATGCTAGCAGCGGGAAAAATCGAGTCGTACAAATCTAATACCGATGCTCTGGAATTTCAATCTGTAGAAAAGCTTTCTGGTAAAATGTAAAGGTAGTTTTCGATTTCACTACCCACCTTGTCTGCAGTCAGCTCTTCCCTACTTTTAACCGATTATGCAAAAACAGCGTTATTACGAAGTTATGCTTAATTTTAACGTTTTCTTGTTCCTTGTTTTTGAACCTATTTTCCTCTTCATTGACTTATAAGATAGCACTTGAGATGTTCAAAATTTCGCACCTCGACATTGAGCAGGACCGTTTTTCATTCAAATCCTTCAAGAGCTTTGAATACCAAATTACGATGATTGTCGTATTCAACTCAACAAATTTCTAACAACAGGAGGAATCATGTCCTTGTATGGCTTACAAACTGTAGTGTTGCTGTCTTAGCCTAGGCAGGCGAGGGATTGCACGTCATGCTCACAATACAGATTACCTTTGACTAGGGTCAAATCCCTCCCCACCTTACCATTGAAAAAGGTAACCCAGGTGCCCACGATTTTCAAAAAAAAAACCATTGAGATGACGTACCGCAATACTTGAAGAAATGGGAAGCCTCGAATGCTACCAGCTGGAGCCGAGATCCTCTCAACGTTGTTATGCATGTACTTTATTCTCTACCGGTTAATCCCGCACAGTTCCTTACCGTAACGCAAAAGATGCAATTCACGCCAGCCGGATCTGGTGGAGTCTTTCAACGATGCGATTCCCATCTGTAAGATTTGTAGCGAAGCGCTCGGCACGGATAACTTGGGATGTAAGTTTCCTACATATCGGATAGAAAATGATCCTGTAGTTGCTACTGTAAAGACAACACATAGGCCGAGAGCAACTTCTAGTCCATAGTATATGATTCTTCAAAAATGAAAGGTCATTATTTCTCATCCTGTTTGAATGGAGGAAGAGGCGACTTTCTTGCGTGAATGTTACCTCAAGACTGGCGTTGATCAGAATGTAAGAAAGCTGACCAAATTATTGAGCCATAAACTGCTACTTGTACCCTAACGACGCTAGTTCACCTAATCAGATTTTCCACTCTTATAGCGTCTTCTAAAGCCCCAAAAATTTGGGATTCACACTACTCACAGAATTATAAGTAAGACAAAAATCTACAATTGAAGAACGAAAGCACAATCAGGTGCGGGACTGGCGTCATACTTCATCCCAGATGCATAATATTGCATTGTTTGAGCTCTTGGTGCTCATCACTACCAACTCCAAAACCATCACGAAGATATTCCCTTTAAGGAAGTAATCCAAGGCATAATGGTAGCGTATTCTGTTCCTACTGCATTTCGCACCTTTCCTTCCGAATACCCCTCCGCAACACATCCTATTGGCAGCTCCCGCATTGCTGAGATCAAACTCAACTCATCTCCCATATCAGATGCGCTAAGTTGATTGCAGTTACCAAGTTTAAGTGATGTCGGATAAAACCAGGGTGTAAGCAAAGTAGAGGTCTAAAGAGGCAGACAGGAAAGGGGACATAGAACGCAATGAATCTTCATTGTGGTGGTTGGTGCAGAGAGCAGAGAGTACTGAACCAACCTGTTTACCTTCAAACTCATGCCTATCAACATCCAGATTCAAAGGTTACTTAATCGTGTATTACTGAGAGAATTAGATGGGTAAAGGTATAAGTGTAGACAAGAAATAAGAAAACTTGGATGAGCATGCAAATGAGACGGAATTAAAGATCCTCCACAGAGTATGGCATCAAAACACTTTGCTGAGGGCTGATATCGGGTCCTTTTTTTAGCTTCGGCGCCGGACCTTTCTGCATTTCCACACCTGTCGGCAGCAGGAACGGATCGAATTGATCCGCCTCCTCCGCTTTCAATGACTGAATAATCATTCGATCTGAACTCTGAAAGAGAAGAGACGGGAAAAGATGATGCTCAAATAGCCGTCTTATGTAGTGAACAAAATCAGGAGAACTTTCGTCTTGTTTTAAGAGATTTCCCGAGAAAATAGCTTCTTCACCATAAATAGTTACGTACAAACTTTAAATCCTTGTATTGTGGTTGCTATTGTAAGGACCAATTTATCTCCCATCGAACGTTTCAGGAGCAAGAATGAAAAATAAATCCGCATGTTTAAAGCCGGCACGAGTGCGGTCGCCCCCGACGCTTGTACGGAAGGTTCAAAAAATGTTTTTGCCTTTAATCCGTGTTTTAAGCCGGCTAAGGGCTCCACCACAAAGTGGCACAGAACATGAAGTCATTTCCTCTACGACCATAACGTCTACCAGCTCGGTTATGGCACCTTTTTTACACACACTTATATACATCCTGGCATCAACCACAACTGTCACTCTAAGCGCCCATTTTGGCAGCGTTGACATAAGTAAGCAGCAATGAAACACAACCTGTCATATTATCAACCCTCTTTACGTGTACAGAAAAGGTCCTTGTAACTTTCAAATGACCTTCATAGTAAAAAAAATAGGCGTGAAGGAAGAGGTACCTTGTTCAAGACGCGAAACTTTGTCTTGGTGCCGAAATCATTGCTTTCTGGAACGGTCACACTGTTGGCAACAGAAGGCGGAGGAGCTAGAGAATTCTCAGCTTTGTGGTCCCACGTGTAATCTTCCTCCGTCTTCTGGTTCAGCAGGACTCTGGATCGACCTCAAAGGCGAAAAAAACAACCAACTCTTATGCAATGTGTGATGCGCTTGACATCACAGATCTTGATTTGGGTGCCAAAAAATCAACTCAATTAATGTCAACGAGAAGAGGGCTAAGGTAAGAAACATACCAGAAAGAATCCCTTGATCAGCGGCTGACAAATCCTTGGAGGCGAGCGTATCCAAAGCAGGCAGAGGCAAGATAGTAGCAGAGGCAAGGATCATAAGTGCCACCAACAGTAGACTGGCCGGTTTACCTGACTTCACCCGCAATCGCTGTTGCTGTTGCTGTTGATTCTGACGGGGTATGGTAAGAGGCAAGAATTGTTGCAGCGGAGACGCGGCTGGATCGCTTTTCAAGCCACAGCCACTGCTCGTTGGCGACCAAGTACCTGCAATCAAGCGAGCCACATAGGAGCGCATCTGGCGAAGGTTCGCCAGTAGGCCACTGAAATAGAATGCATTGAGTGCGCAAATGTTCTACAGATAACTTTATTCTGCTTAACCATTTAAAATAAATTCGTTTGCGAGACATTTACAGCTTCACATTCCCAAAAAAACCGCCTAAAGCAAAACATGTCAATAAAAAGTGATTTGCTGGCGTTCATGTGGCTTTTATGCATCCATGAGTTCCTAACAAACATTCATTAAAAACGGCAATAGATGAACCGATCATACAGAATTGTGCGAGGACATCTATCTATTAACGCAAGCTTATTTAGTGATCGTCAAAATTGTGTCATCAAGCAGTATGAACGGGACCAACGCGAGTTATACCCTTGAACATAACACCTCATTCAACAGCTTTAACCACTTCAGCTATGGATGTGAGCATACCCACCCACTGGGGAAAGTTGACGGGAAGCTGAAATCAAGCGTATTAGCGGTGAAAATTGCGTTTAACTGGAAAACAAATTGCCAAGACGTGGTACTGTACTATTAATTAGACTTAAATGTTTATTCGAAACTTAACTGGAGCATATAGGAAGCATAAAAAGGAATCCAATTTCAGTTAAGGGCAGCCTCATCCCTCGCATTGGCTCAAAATTCACGACTATTTTTTGGGCACGGGAAAGTTTAATGACCGTATTTGATACTCACTAAAACAAATCAAGTTTATGCAGTTCCTTAGTCAATGCCATCATAATAGAAGGATATAAATCAAGGACAAATTTTGATAACAGAATCATATAATGGAGAGAGAGGGAAACCAAGAAAGCGTTAATTAAACTCGCTTAGTAGGTGATCCTGAAAGGGAAAGCTACGCTTTGTCAAGCACCAGATAACACTTAACTTACGCTCACTGGATACTACGAGTTGGCACACACACGCACATAATTTTCATGTGAAAAGACAAATCAGGACGTCTGGTACCCTATGCTCTCCAAACCTACTATAAATTGGAATAAGTGAGCCGTCATCATGTTTTAAACAAGTCCTCGTTTCCGCGTAATTGTCTTTCAAGGTTATTAAGCGTAGAACCAAGACAGCATTGAAAACCGGCTTTAAAGAGCGGCTAAGGATAGTTAAGAACAACAACACAATACGGTGCTCCAAATTAGACAAATTTGTCCTGCAGACAACTCAGATTAACTACACGAGTTGATGTATGCATGAATACGTAATCTAAGTATTTAGAAAATTTCAATTAAGCTCAACCCACCGTTTGTCCTTTTCCAACTCTGTAACACGACAACGTAAGCGTTGATTTTCCTTGTGGCAATCAGCTACCCGCGATTCAAGTCTGGAAAGGTACTCCTGGCGTCGTGCACGACTCGCTTTAGCTGAAAGCTTATTACGTATCTTCCGTCGCATTGTTCTAATTGCCCGCTCCTCACAACGTGTAAGTGGAAACACTGTCGGAACGCGTTGACCCATCTGCACTAGAAGGCGTTTCTCTTCAGCTGTAAGAACTAACCGTTGTCCCTACCAAAGTCAACCAATAGACCAAGTGAGCAACAGTCGGAAAAATCCACCCAAAAGAAATGAACAAACTCACAGGTTTGCCACGAGCCAGATCCTCATTGTGAAGACATAAAGGTGGACTAGAACGATTAATTCTCCGACCATGCCCTCGAGGCATGGCTCGTTCAATGCACTCCTCATCTCCACTTCCGTAGTATTCATCGTTTACTTCTGAATAATAGGGGGAACTCTCATCTATGATCATTTTTCTTCCCAGTGGAGGATCGGAGGAGGAAGAAGAGCCTGAATTTTGCCTAGGTGAATCACTCAACGAGGAATCGATGAGATCAAGGAGGTCCAATGGAATATCAAGATCGGAGGGTAATGGCGCGTGTGATGCCGTATCAGAGGGTGCATTAAAAACTGACGTTAGAGTATCTTGCAGATTAGAGTCGACTAAAGCTTTAGAGTCTAAAACGGGAGCGTCTTCAAGGAAAAAAGAAAAGAGGTCATTAGCATCGATGGAATCAAGATCTCCCAAAAGAGGAAGAGTGGAATCTTGGGAGTCATTGGTGGCTACGACCTCTTCCTGATGGTGAAAAGTGATGATATCGGTGGGACATTCTTCCTGGATAGATTGGAAAAGAGGGGACATGGACGTCTGCTCCGCGTTGACGTAATCATCAAGAATAAAGCGGTCTTTTAGAGTGCTGAGGCTTTGAGAGAGCTATAACTGTATTAGGACAAAGCAATGTTACGCTCACTTGCTCACCGATTCGAGGAACAAGAACGGCAGCAGAACTGACTTCATAGTCCATTGCCTCGTGGACGACAGAAATAGAAAGTGACTACATTCGAAAAACAATGAAACATCTGAGACCAAAGAACTGGAACATTATTGGAAATCAAGATGAAAAAAAATAGAAAAATAGGTAAGATGCACCTAACCTTCTTGATGAAGGGTTATCTTAGTCTTAG